CCCCATTTGGTCCTCTTGGAATTCAATTAGTGAAATCTCTTTTTCTGCCTCTTCCTCTCTCCTTCCAAAAATTCTACGTAGAATAATTCTGCTTTCTCAATTGAATCAATTCTATGTCTCTGTTCTTGCCATGTAAACATTAGTCCTTTTGGAATCAGCCATCTATAGTTCACCTCTTTTTTCAATAACATTTTAGTCAGGAATTGGTATTCTCTTCTCATCTCTCTCACTCTTCTAGGTATTTGTTTTAAAACCACCATCTCCTTGCCTTTGTATTTCAACGCTTTCTCTCTTGCCACTTGTAATATTTGTGTTTTAATGGCTTTTTTTGTAAATCTGATGTGAACTTCTCTTGGTAGGTTGTTTCTCATCGCATATCTTGTAAAAACTCGGTATACCTCATCTACTCCATCCATCATCTTCTCCTCTGTTATTTCCAAAGCTTCAGCCAGTATTTCTATCATTATCGCAGCTAGATTTTGTCCTTTTTTTTCCTCTATATTTTGAAATCTGAGATAGAATTCTGATCTGTCCATCTCCCATTTGAGCATCCCACTTTTATCTTGTTCAACCACTGTTAATCTACTGTCAATGTTTCCAATCTTCTTGTCTCTTTGTTTATCTTCTTCAATTTTTTGGAATCTCTCATCATACTTCGCCATCATTTTTTGAATATTTTCCATTTTTTCATCGGTCTTCCCTCTTCTTTGTTCAATGTTCTCTGTTCTTTGTTCAATGTTCTCTGTTCTTTGTTCAATATTCTCTATTCTCTTTTCAATGGTGTCTGATTTTGTTTTAAGGCCTTGGATTCCTTGCATAATCATCTGTAGAGTCACTTTTTCTTGTTCTTTATCTTGCTTTAACATTGTCTGAATTAAACATTGTCCTCCAGATGGTGGGGAGGCAGAAGTAGAAGTAGAGGCGCCAGAATGTATGAGTTTCCTACTCATTTTGAATGATTCAAAACCTTCAAATTCTTTTAGACTTTAATCCGATTAGTGAAGTAGCCAATTATAATCCAAGGTGGGGAATAAAAGTGGTAGAGAGTAAAAGGCCCAATGGTGGTAGTAAAAAAAAAAGGAACGAAAAATTCTTCAGGTTCTTCAGAACCTTAATCCAATTATGAAATAGTCAATTGTAATCCAAGATAAAAGA